CCGGAGGACAGCCACCACTGAGAACATACATAATAAATAAATACATAAAATACACATGGCTCTGGACTGTCACTCCTGATGGCTGAGGCTTGGCTTTGGCCGTAGCTGATGCAATAGCTGAAGATGTGCATAATCAGCTTTGTTCCAAGATCAGCCAAGGATTAGGCCAAGTTTAGGCCAGTGGACAGACAACAATGAGACAGTACATAATAAATAAAGACATAAAATATCCATGGCTCTGGGCTGTCTCTTCCAATGGCTGAGGCTTGGCTTTGGCCATAGCTGATGCAATGGCTGAGGCTGTGGATAATCAGCTTGGTTCCATGCTCAGACGAGGATTAGGCCAAGCTTAGGCCGGAGGACAGCCACCACTGAGACCATACATAATAAATAAATACATAAATTACCCATGGCTCTGGGCTGTCTCTTCCAACGGCTGAGGCTTGGCTTTGGCCGTAGCTGATGCAATGGCCGAGGCTGAGGATATTCAGCTTAGTTCCATGCTCAGACGAGGATTAGGCCAAGCTTAGGCCGAAGGACAGCTACCACTGAGACCATACAAATAAATGCATAAAATATCCATTGCTCTGGGCAGTCTCGTCCAATGGCTGAGGCTTGGCTTTGGCCGTAGCTGATGCAATGGCCGAGGCTGTGGATAATCAGCTTGGTTCCATGCTCAGACGAGGATTAGGCCAAGCTTAGGCCGGAGGACAGCCACCACTGAGACCATACATAATAAATAAATACATAAAAACCCATGGCTCTGGACTGTCACTCCTGATGGTTGAGGCTTGGCTTTGGCCGTAGCTGATGCAATGGCTGAGGCTGTGGATAATCAGCTTAGTTCCATGCTCAGACCAGGATTAGGCCAAGCTGAGGCCAGTGGACATCCATCACTGAGACCACAACAAAAGAGACTCTGGGCTATTACTTTGCTAAACTAGGAAGGAGAGGTTACTAGCACATCACTTCCATCAGACGTCTTACCATGCCTGTCCCTGACTAATCCTACAGATTGTTGAGCTTCTCAGGCAGTCTTACTACTCTGTCCCATCTAATGTGATACAGTTTACTTGTTTAGACTGCCGCACACTGGGCTACCTTTTTTGGGTATAAAAGGAGGCTCTGGAA